CACTCTCACTCACTCACTCTCTCTCTCTCACTCTCACTCTCACTCTCTCTCTCTCTGTGTCCCATTCACTCACTCACTCACTCACTCACCACCACCGCCACCGTCACCACGATCCCCACCTTCATCACCACCATCACCTCTCTGGACCCCAATGCGTCTAGATCTCTAGACTTTCTGCTTATAGACCTCACACGTGGGTCTCTTGCCGGGATAATTGAAAGACCTCATCAAGGGCTCTTTGCAAAAGTTGCCTGTGGCCGTGAGTTCAGAAACCAAAAGTTGATTTCGTGCGGCTTTCAAACATTTTGTTTAAAACATGCTATGACTGGCAGGCAGCAAACCAGACGGAAACATCAGCGATCCCTTCACTTCTTCAATACCTGCCCGACTTTTCGAGCCATCAAAGCTTCCCAGTTGATCCAGCCGAGCCCCCAGGCCGCTGCCGCACGCCTGCGGCACGAGGCACAGGAGGAGGAGGCTGGCAGCATGGTGCTGGGAGCTGAGCTTCATGCGGAACAGCAGCTCATGGCGGAGCCACCCGGGGTTCGTGGAAGGTGAAGAAGGGCCTAAGGTAGAATTTTGATGAATCATGCCCCCCATATGATGAGGTGTGCTACAATCCAAATGATGTGTTCTTTAATTCCCGTAATTCCCCAAACAGTGTGGACACACATCAGGGGTTCTTACGGTAATAGTTAAGCACCGGTGTCTAATCGAGGTGTTGCACCGGGATAATAAGTGTCAAGAGTTAGTATGACATGGATGTGATTGAACGACTCAAAGACGGTCAGATCTATTGGTTGCTGGGCCCTTTAAGTTGAGCCCCTTTGGTCGTGCATTTGAGACTTGGGCTGTCAAAGTGAGATGCTAACACCCACCTTTACGCAACATGTTGCAAAAGGGATGGACATTCCATTCGTAGAAGGGGTATGCATGCAACTTTTATGTGATCAAGTGACCAGGCCGCATCTATCAAATCACTAGATATGAATGATCTCGGCAATGGCACAGTAAGTTTCGCAGGTGTGTTTGATTGTACTCACTCAAATCTGGCCTGGACCCAGTGTTTGTCAGTCTTCCACCCGAGCGTTCACTAAAAACCAAAGGATGAACAGCGCTGCTTTATCCCTCAGACAGCCTTCCGAACTTGAAAGACTTCGACCCCAAGATCACAGACAACGAAACGTTTGGGTCGGTGTTTGCTTCAATTATCAGTCGGATATTGAAACAAACTGTTCGCACTCATGACTTGCCCCTCTATCCACCAAGCCTGGATTTGGATGAGATGGGCCCTTCTACAGAGACATGTTGTTTTCAGAAAGAGTTTCTTTCTCCAAAAAGATCCGCAGAAAAGCTTCGTCCAGCCTTCCCAGGGCCGAGAATTGGACCACCACACGGGTCCAATCTTCTGCAGGAGCTACAAGAGACGGTCCTGTCTCGGCAGTTGCAACTGGAAGCCCTGCAGGCGCAGCAAAGCTGGCGGGGCATCGCACAGCAGGACGAGCAGTTGGAATGGCGCCGGAAGCTCCAGGAGCTGCAGCAGAGGAAGTGGCAGGCCAAGGAGGTGCCATTGGTCCTTTTTGAGTCGAAGACGGTGTTGAGTCGAAGAAAGAGATGGAAAGAGGTCCAAAGAGGAAGAATGGGACGTACTGTTCTATGGCTTCTATGGCGTGTTTCTTTGGTTCGAACACATACCACGTGCCATCACTGTCGGACGCGCAAAAGACTCGAGTCTGGCTAGGCACGAGAGGCAGCTGAGCAGTCCCATGAAGAGGTGCGACAGATTGTGCAGCAGGACTCCTTGAGCAAAGATCTTGAGGCGAGGCGTGGGTGACTGGGTTTGGGGAGGCGCGGACAGACCTGGTTATGTGGACAGACCTGGTCAGTGTTCACGTTTGGAACCTCGTGTGGTTGGTGGCTGTGCTTCATGTTGCAAAAAGTCTTGTTCCATTCCATTCCATCGCTCTTCCTTGAAGCAAGCAGGCACAGAGAGGATGGTAAGAGCAGGTTTATGGGAATGATGACTTGACTTGATGCGAGCAGATCTAAAAGAGCCATGATCGGTCGGTGGACAGAAGTTCGATAAGTAAAAGCCTATATATAAAGTCTTCCTTCTGTGGTTGGACCACCCAAGCTCTCAGGATATCGAGCCTAGACCCACAAGCATCCCTTGATCGCAAATATTGATTGATTGCTTTGCCCAGGAGCTGCAAATTCAGACATCTCAACTCCGGACACATCTCTCAGAGCAGCAAACCTTGGCTTTGGAGCAGCAAACCTTGCTCGAGGAGTCCGACTCCGAACCTTTGCTGGAAGAGTTGACCCGCTTGCAGCGGCAAAAGTCCGCCTTCCTCGAAGAACTCGACGCGCTCCGCCTCGGTGCTTCCTCCGAGCCGCGGGCGCGGTCGCCGAGCCGCGAGCGAGGTGCGGAGCGACGTCCGGACGGACGGTCTGAACGCTGGCGGCAGCAGAGGATGTTTCAGCAACTGAGCCAAGGGCGTGAGAGACGGGAAGCTTTGAGACAGCAGCTTCAGACACAGAAGAAAGAAGAAGAGCGTGTCCTGCATTCAGAAGGTGGAAGTGTGTTTTATTCTTTGTGGGGGGGCATACAGGATTGTGTGCAATCAATTGTTTTACTAGAGCATTCATACAGTATATTGACATAGTACTATAGCTTACTATAGCATCATGCTGTTGTATGCATTCGTCCTGTATTTTATATGTGTATATACATATGTATATATATAATGTTTTTTAATAGATCTTAAGTGTGTGTTGTCACGTCTTTCAAAAATAGAGCACGAAGCGGAGCACCTCAGGTTTGCGACATCAACTCCAAGATCTGGAGCAGCGCTTGCAGCTGAGCCGCGACGACGCGGAGCGCAAGCGGCACTTCGTGGCCCAGCTGCAGAGGTCCCTCGAGGCGCAGGCGGAGCACACGGCGGAGCACGCAGACGCAGTGCCGCGGAGCCGGGAGCTGGAGACGGAGCTGCAGAGAGCACGAGAGGTTCTGGGACGGAAGGAGGCGGCGTTGCACGAATGGAGGGCAGAGATGTCAGAAGTGCGAAGCCGGAAGGAGATGTGGAACCAAAAAGGAAGGGCTTAGGGCTTAGGGCTTAGGGTTTGGGAGGAGCTGGGGACATGGAAGCAAGAACCAGGTGCTTGGTGATCGCATAGGACATCATAGGACCATTGAACCATCACCATCACCCAGCGGGCGTGGTCTTAGACTTCCAAAGAAAGACTTCACCCACGGGCAAGGACCAATTGATCTCTTGGGTACTGGTGGTTTCGGGTTTTGCCCGTTTCTGTTCAGCATTTGCCCTGTAAGAAATCACATAGATGACATAGCCTTTTGTGCTGTATACTTCTAAGGGTTGTTGCAATAGACAGGAATAGACTACCGTTTGTTCTACCTTACTGAAGGTTGTTGCAATAGCCCGCACACATCCTGATGGACTGAAGGCCTTGTGGCCTATTTATTGCTTGGACGCAGCCGCAGCTGACTTGTTCCTTGAGGAATTTGTTCCTGCCTAAAGACCTCATGCGATCAGATTTGATGTGTTTGCGATACGGCTTAAGACCCAAGAATCCTTTGACAATCCAAGGTTCTTTCACCCTCCAGACCTTTTTTCCTAGTCATTTTGCATTTAGTCAATGTCTTGACCCATCCGTCCCACCTGAAGAATGTGGTTCCAGGGGCGTTGGGCCATATTGGCGACCCTGGCCTTTGCAGATGCCTCGGAGCTTCCAGAATGGTTGGACCGTGGCTTGGGCCACGTGCGCATCGCTCACGAGGAGCGGACTGGTCGTGGTCTTCAGGCGACCAGCGACTTCGCCAAGGGCGAGGAAGTGTTGGCGGTTCCCTTGAGACATGTGTTTGCATTGGAGAACTTGGAGAATTTTTTCGCAGAACATCCGACCTCAGAGAATTTGAAGGATGTCATGTCTGTACTGCAAGATTTACAGGACAATTCGAAGTTACTTCCCTTGGACTCCTTAGCAGTGGCTCTTGCTGCTTACAGATTTGCGGACTGGGGGAAGCTGCTACCACAGGAGATGGTGCACCATCCACTCTTTTATACAGAAGATGATTGGATATTTGTCGAGAACTTGGTGTCCTCCGGCGTGTTGCGGTCGGTTTGGAATGATTTCCTGCAAAGCTGGCAGCGGGTCAAGCCGTTGAGGCCAGGTCTCAACCAATCGGACTATCAATGGGCTCATGCGATCCTACGTAGTCGTGGACACTCCCTTCGCATCCGTCGAGCCGAAGGGCCTTGGAGTACGATTTGGGGATTGATACCGTTGGCGGATTTCTTCAACATGGGAGAGGATCCAAATGTTGAATGTTCAACTAGATACGTTCCTGGCTTGTGGGGCTTTCAGGGAAGTTTCTCCTGTATCACCCGGCGGGCCGTTCGCAGAGATGAAAATCTTTTGGTTGAGTATATCTCCAGCAGCGAGAAGCGCACAAGTGCTGTGATCCTGCGCGAGTACGGCTTCGTTCCAGCCGAGAACGTGCATGACGCTCTTTGCTTTCTTCCCAGCGACTGTGCCATACTGTCATGCATGACTTGCACGCAAGAGTTAGCGCAGCTGGAAGCACAGCTCGGAGAGTCGGAGGGTCGGCGATTCATCCAAGAGGCCTTCGACCGCCATGCATTGCTCACCATGTCGCCCCGGGTGGATTTGAATCTCCTCGCCCGGCATGAGCACCAGCTACTGCTTTCGTTGCGGGGGGAACTGGAGCGGTCTCAAACTCCCAAAGTCTTGTATCGCCAGTGGCGGAGAATCACCGATGATTGGGAGAGACCACGGAACTCCGATGAACCACGGAACGAGGCAGGGAAACTGCTGAACGTCTTGCGAGACCCCTTGCAATTGCACACGGTCGCTTGGGACCAAGCTGTGTGGGATGCCGGTCAGCACTTGTTGAAGGACTGGGACGATCTCTTGGCTTCCGAGCTCCTCTTCAGTCATCACGACTTCGTGCCGGAGCTCGAACAGCTGTTCCGCCGAAAGCGGCACACGGCACTCGAGATGCACTCGCGCGATCAGTCCATGCTGCAATGCGCGTTCTCCGCACAAGCGTTGCTGAACGGCTTTGCTTGGCCCATCAGTGATCCAGAGCATGCACAGTTGCGGGAGGTCAAAGACGGGCAAGTGAGGTCCATGTATTTTCCAGAGCCAATCGACCACACTATTTGCCCCAGAGCCTTTGCATTGCAAGCTGAAAGAGAGTGGGAAATTAATGAGCCGATTCGATCATGCTCTGGTTGGAGCGGTGGAGAACCTAAAGTTCATTAACTTTATAGCGACCATCCCTATCCATCTTGGCGTCGCTTTGCTTCATTGAGTGGCGATCAATTGAGAAAGACCAAGATAAAGAGGAGTTTGATTGCTGGAGTCGGCACCGGTAAAGCTGTTCTTGCACATCTTGAGCATTTTCGTCCTGAAGAAATCGTGGCTGTAGACTTGAGCAAGAGGTCGTTACAAGTAGCAAAGCGACAGCTTTTGGCGCTTGGCATCAAACACGTGACCTTGCTTCAGTGTGACTTGACCACTCTGCCAGGGCACTTCCATGTTCAATTTGATGTGATTGAAAGCGTGGGTGTCCTGCATCACTTGCCAGATCCAAAAGTAGGCCTGGCATCGCTCAAACGTATGCTTGCACCAGATGGTGTGCTCGTACTGGGCCTCTATAGCCGCTTCGCACGGCGCAGCATCCCGGTGATGCGTCAGCTGGCTCGAGAAACAGCACCTGAGAAGTTTCGGGATTGGCTTGTCCAAGGTGGTGAGCTCTCAGGGCGTTCATTGAATCATGAGGAGGAGCAGTACAAGAATGAGTTCTTGTTGGAGTTTTCGTTGGGATCTCGCAGTAATTTTGAGGATCTTTTGTTCCACCCGGTGGAACATGTCTTCGAGCTCCCCGAAGTGGAGACCTTGCTTTTGACCGCTGGGCTTCACTTCACAGGTGTGCGTGTTCCCACTGGAAGTCATGGAGTGGCAGACCGTTGGGCACCCTTCTTTGCGCCCGAGCGGAAGCACATGTCTGGATGGCCTCAGATGCCATTACTGGCATTCTTGCATCGTTTGGAAACTGAGATGGAGCCTTTGTTGTTTACCAACATGTATGTCTTTACAGCTTCTCATGGCCCTCATAGCCACAAATCTGCGATTCTACCAGGTGCTTCTCGATGGGTCGGCGAAGATACCCCAGAACCTGAAGCTTTGCCGCTACCGTTTGAGGAAGAGTGGCCTCGCAGTTTGCTGCAACGGGCAGTTGTCACCTATTGTTCGCGTGTGCTTCACTTCGTCAATGGCACGACGTCAAGCTGGACTGCGCCGGCTCCCGTCGATGCTTGGCTTGAAGCCAAAGTGGCGTTTGGTACCCATGCAGCTCGCGTGGCTGGAGCTTTACAGACCATCGATGCGGCACTGGAGTATTGTTCTTTGCTGAAATCTCATTTTCGAGCGGCGTGGCAGAACTTATTTCTTCACTACACATTGAAAGCTTTTGTTAGGAATGGGGATGTTCTAAACTCACAGCTGCCTAGACCAAACAGCTATGCTATCCAAGAATTCCTGCCGAACACTTCGTATGAATAAAGTCCGATTCAGAAACCCAAAATCCGCGATTCAGAAACTAAATTTCCGCGCTTCAGAAACTACAATTCCGCGATTCAGAAACCAACATTCTGCGATTCAGCAACCAAAAAACAACGATTCAGCAACCAAATGCACAGTAGGTTAGGTGGGGTGGTGGTATGGGGCTGGGGTAGTAACGTTCCTGGGTGATGGCAGCTGGGTACTGAATCACAGTAGGTTGGGTCGGGTGTTGGGATGGGGCTGGGGCAACAACGTTCCTGGGAGATGGAAGCTGGGTACTGCATCATAGTAGGTTGGGCGGGGTGGTGGGATGGGGCTGGGCCAATAACGTCCCTGGGTACTGAGTGGGGTGGTGGCAGCTGTACTGAATGACAGTAGGTTGGGTGGGGTGGTGGGATGGGGCTGGGGCAACAACGTTCCTGGCAGATGTAGTGACCGTGCAAAACAAGGGCAGTTGGGTTCTGAATCACAGCTTGGTTTCGTCGTTGTGCTTGGTTTCCGAATATTCGTTTTTTTGGTTTCCGAATCATCATGTTGGTTTCCGAATCACGGTTTCCGAATCACGCTTGGCGGTTTCCGAATCATCGTTTTGGTTTCGGAAAAAAAAACCGCAACCCGCATTGTATTGTTCGACATTGCTTTGCGTAGGAGTCCTGTTTCTTCGCTCGTGCTTTTCCTGCCACAAATCCCTCCAGGTGGCCGACGAAGCTTGACGAACAGTGGAGCAGCGAAAAAGGGGGTGTGGTGTGGGTCAGTGGACCACACCAAACGACCCAGGTTCAATCAGGTTCACAGATATACCTCTTGTAGTCTTTTTGGGGGTCGGTCGATCTGTTCGATTTGCATGTCCTTGGGCGCCATGACCCGCCATAGCTCCTCGAGGAAACCAGCACCACCCAAGTGCACCCAAAACACGGCCGTGCTTGTCCTACCGGAATTCAACAAACGTATATTGGAACTTTGTAAGAAGAAATGGCTGCATAATATGTTAAGTTTGCGAGCTAAAAATGCCGTGCCCATACCCAGGTTGGGCTTGTGACTGTTCAATTAAGGTCGATCATATCGTGGCTTGCCCCCAAACGATGGATTACTTTGGGCTATTGTTTGGTCATGTGCAAATTCTTGTAATTGAATTGACCTGGTGTGTTCAATGCACAAGTCGTCCACGCCTTTGTCAATGTTTCCTTGATGTTGGGTTTTGTTGTTTTCTAGGTGTTAATCTCCTGTGTTGATGTGTTGCTAAAGTGTTGCTATTATGTGATCTCCTTCACCCGGTCATGTACAAAAACCCTTCTATGCGGCGGCAGCCAAAAGAGGTCCACCGGTCGTCGAGGCAAATCCACCTTTTCTGGGTGCGCTTTTTTCCGATCTTCAGCCATGAAGGTGTGACGTCAGTTTACACTCCGACAAACACATCACATGGAAGTGGATGGCCCCCATTTCTTCATAGAGGAACGTAGTTTTCCAAGAGTTTTTGCCAAACCAGTTTTTCCTTTACACTCAGAAGCAAACTAGATTTATCCCAAAAAAAGGAGGATGCAGGCCGAAAGGACGTTTCAATGATAACGGATAACATGATAGTCAAGGACTGGCTTGGGAGCATGTTGTTCAACATCATCCCAAGCGCGTTGGCTCTTTGCCATGCCACCGCGCAAGCGGAAACTACACCAGGAAGACTGCCCCCCCACCATTGGAGGATGTGGGCGCCTCGGCTTCCCATCCACGTTTGGCGCGCCATGTAACGCGCTTGGTGGCTTCCAAGAACCCCCTGGTGGTTCTGAAGCCTGGACCAGAAAGCCATCAAGGATAAATTGCATAAAACCAACAAAAAGTGACATGTGCATATCCGGGATATCATCCACAGTGTGGCTGGATTTGTTGAAGGTATGAAGGTAGGCGTTTTGTCTATCTAACTTCATAGACACACTTTCTATGTGTTGAAGGCCATGAAGACCAGAAATCCAAGGAACCGATATGAAGACCGGGCACATGACAACGGACAAAGGTGTTGCGTTCATGTTGCTGCCTGGGTAGCTGTGCTGCCTGAGGACTCCGAGCTGCTTAAACCTGCAGCGGATTTGTTAGCAAAATTGTTGGCAACCAGGCCTAAGATGAGATATGGCCCATAGTTGGCAGGATCCTTGAAATTGGTGGCCAAGCGCGTGGCAGGTGCCACTGATCCTTGGTGGAGGGAACTCAAGGCCCGACTTCCACGCAAGACTTGGCAGAAGCAAACTGCTTCAAATGGAGAAGCTCTCGAGCTTGAGGCCAAGCGGCTTCACACTGCCATGGCCAAGTGGCGCAATGCCAGTAGCAATGAGAGGATGACCATGTTGGAGAATATCAGGAGGAAGCTGCTGTTTGGGGATGGTGACCACGAGCAACGCCAGAAACTGCTGAGAGTGGTACTGCGAAAAGTGGTGGCATCAATGTCAGCCCCCAGGCATCATGTTGCTGGTAAACGGAGGCAGGAATGTCAAGCAGAAACAGAACCAGCAGGGCCTAGCCAACAGGACTGCCGAGAACTGTCCAAAATATTTGATGGGTTTGGATGATTTTGGATCCTATACCCGTCTTAAAGTGTTCCCACAACTTCGATTTGAATTGGCATTTTTTTTCATGGGGGTTGCTCCAGCTTTTAAGTTGTAAGATGATCTAAGATTGCAATCTTTTTGAGGCTGGGTTGAAAGCCCCAAGCGAAGGAGCTGAGACATCTTTTGTTGAAGGTGCTGCAGCAAGTGAGCCTCAAGGATGCGAAGGTGAAACCTCTTCTCAGCTTCTCAGCTCGTGGATTTTTTCATGTGGTTGTTGGTTTCAATATGTGTCAAACATTGTCAAACCATGCTTTTGTTTCCTCCATATTTGGGATGATCACCCGCATTGGCTCAAAAGCCCAATTGGGGGTCCACAAGGAATTGGGGGAGACTCTGATGGCAGTCCAGGTCGAAACTAGGTTGGGTTTGGGGATATTCCCATGGCAGCTTGTAGCAATGTGTCGCTTCAACTACCTGGGCTGTAACGACGACCATGGTGAGTAATTTGAGCCCAGGGCCCATACAAACCAGATTTATGAAAGGAGTCCAATATATGCAACGCATGCTACCGATCTCATTGTGTTCATTACTCTTGGGTTCTCACTAGTTAGCCCCAAGGACATTTGGAGCAACTGATTGCCCGTTTCGACGGACAGCTGGAAGAAGCTGCCTGTTCATCTCAGTGGCTGCGAATTTCTGGTTTCCTGCAGGGCTAGGATGAGGCACGCCGCGGACGTTGGAGCGAAGAGGAGAAAGAGGAGGTGTGGCAGTTTTTGCAAGATGAACTGCAGAGATCTGGAGAGGCGAACTCGGCGTCCTGGAGGAAATGAAGTTGTTAGCTTTTGAAACATTTTGGAGCCTGGAGGAGAAATTGTTTTTGTCGCACACTCAGATTGAGGCACCGTGACCCTGAATCGGATGATCCTACTGTGGATGGTTGATCTCCGGGTTAAAACGGAAACCGGACAAGAAACGCAACTTCTGAAAGATGTGCAAGTCGAGATCTGCGAACATCTAGGTCCTATGGGGAAAGCCTCTACCAGATTTCAAAGGTCCAGCAGCGCCATTCAAGTTTTCTGGCGCTCCCGAGCAGATGCCCGGTATGCTCCCCCGGAAGCAGATCGAGCAAGGCACCCGCGAGGATTGATCAAACAGGTGGTCGGCGAGGCCATACAGAAACTAGGTGCGCCTGCCAACCGCTGATTGTCGGGATGGTCAGTTGAAGTGGACGATCATGCATGAGCGTGCATGAGGGATGCTTTTCAGGAACTCATGGAACTCCCAACCAGGAGGAACAACTGACAAGTCCAATCGATTAATGAATATTCGGCTTTCTTCATTTTGAATCCCCAAGAAATCAAGGAGGGTTTCTGGCTTACTTTGCAAGTGTCGTGCTCCGCTCGGAAAAAGAAATGAACCCCCGTGATGAAGCAGGGATGGGGGTCGTGCGAAGGGTGGATGCGCTCAGGGGGGCGAAGCTACGAGCTGTCAACTGATCCAGATGATTGACACTGATCCAGAGATCCAGCAGACCTATGGAGATCGATTGCTAAGGTGCCTGGGTTCCAACAACCGGGTGTACTGCTTGTATAGCTATCTCAATGGGGCAACTACTGTAATATTAAGATCCACCAGTTACAGAAGAATTGTCTCAAGTCGCTCAAGTAGGCCTTTTATCATTGTTTTCGTTTTACTTATTGATAGTTGGACTCGATCCATGAAGAAGAGTCTAGAGTCGGTCAAATGTGATCGATCCCTTTCATTCTGCCCTGACTGCACCAGGCACATGACTCGAATCAGGGGCGACATGAACTCCCTGCCAGCTTGGCAGTGCACAGTCCGATCCGGCGTGGATAAATGGCCAGAAGCGGCCGGCGGGTGGTGTACAGACTCAAGTCTCAACGCTGATGATTGGAAATGCACATGCAAATGTAGCAACGGGTCAACTTGCAAATGTAAGTGTAAAATTACTTTGAACGTATTTAAAAATATTGTCAAGATATAATAAATAATAGAAAGTATTTTATATATTGTTTATGAATATGTTTTGATTAAAAAACAATATTTTACAATAGTCGAATATTAAGAATTTATGTATTTGCGCAATGTAGAGCGAGCATTGACGAAATACGAGGTGAACCTTTAATTTAGCGAGATGAATTAATTTAAATTTAAAGAACGAGGTGGATAGAAATTATTTTTGAAATATATGATGAATGAAGACATAATCAATATTTAGAATGTTTTCTAGATTTTATATTTTTAATTATTTAAGAATAAATAATTGGTTGGAATGATTTATATATATTTATATTGATAAATTGGATATTTATTAGTGTAATTTAAAAGAAAGGATTTGTTGCAGCTCGAAAATTGTATTTATCGGAAATTAAGATTTTAAATTTACGATGGTTTATTGTTTTAGATAAATGTTTCGTGATTTGTAAAATCTTTTGATTTTGTTTGGATATATGTGTATTGTAATTTCGTAATTTTTTTAATCGTATTATTTAATTTTAAAATTGCCGTGGTCTGGTGGTATGGATCGTATTTTTATTCTCGTACTTTCTGGTGGTCTGGTGGTATGGATTTTAATAATTTATGTTCTTTGGATTATTTTATCGTTTTGAGATTGAAAAAAAATGAATTGTCGTTTAAAAGATTGTTTGCCGATAATGTTCTTGCCCATTTGTTTATCTTAAATAGGATAAATTGAAAAAAGGGAATAAAGGATTGGTTCGATTGGTTTGCGGGCAGGAAAGAAATATAAATATTGGAATGAGGATTGATTTTTTTTGAATTTAAGGAGGCGAAGATGATAAATTTAAGGAATGAAAAATTGATTTAAGACGAGGAAATTGTATTGAATTTAAAGTAATTTGATAATTTATTGTTTATAAAAATACAGTGTTAATTATTGGAATGTCGTTATTTTAAATAGATATTAATTTTGTATTTTAATTGATTTTAATTAAAGGAATATATTAGGTCTATTTTTAAAATATATAATGAATTTATTTTAAGTTATATTAAATTTATAAAAATATATTGTTTAGGATCGATATAAATAATTATATTTTTAATTTTATGTATTTTGTTACATAAATTGAATGAAAAAATCCGATAATATAGATATAATTTTAAAATATGCGATTCTTAAATAATATTTATAAATTATAAATAGATATAGATAAATAAATCAAAAAAATATGTATATAATATATATAGATATTAGAGATTGAATGATGATCATTATTATTTGATTTAAGGATCTTTATTGGAAGAAAAATACCGTATATTTTTTTAAATCTAAATGGAATATTGGATAATTTTATAGATCAAGAAATAGGCTATTAATCGTAGCCGTTTTGAGGTTACGAATTTGAAAGAGATCGAAAAATGAAGATTCCGGAGGAAAAAGCAATGAAAAATTATCGTTCGTTGCATCTGGAGGAATTATATTTTGATTATTATTAGGATTATTGATTGATGCATATATACTAGATATTATAAAAATGACCATGCCGATATAATTATAAATATTAAATGAAGACAGAACGGAAGAAATATAAAAATAGTATTTTTAAAAAAATATATATATAAGATTAATATCGTCAAAATAAAAGAAATAGATCCTAGAAAAGAAATATTGGAAAGAAAGAAATTCATCAAAATTATCGAAGAATTATGATCAGCCAGAATTTCAAATGTTTAAATGAGATGAATATAATTATCTATATATTATAAATATAAAATTATATGTTGAATCTTAGGCAATTGACAAGGTACAACAAATCCATGCATGATCAAGTATAAAATATGATAAAAGAAGACGAGGCAGCAATTATTAGCCTTGAGGAATTAGAAAGAAAGCTCCGATTCGTTGATTTAATGGCAGATTATATATACACGAAATATCAATAATTTGCTCAAGAAAATCATGAAGAATATTTTCAATTTGATGAAATGAAATCCAAGATGGGAAATGGGATCAATGAAATGCAAGGTGCCCTTCGTTATATTCAAGAATAGAATTCCAATTTTGATTCTGCTAATCGATGTATTCACAATCTACGTAAAGACAATCAGGCAATCATTGATGTTGCGAATGGTCTTCAAATGAGAATATTGTAGTTACAACGCGAGAACAGCAATATATTGGACGTGGCTTAGAAGGAAAGAAAAAATAATGGAATAACGAGGTGCATCAGAGACGATTAATCGATGAGGTTATTGAAATTACCGGTCATTAGTATCAGGAATAGAGGTTGATTAAATATTTTCGTGGACAAATAGTCATCATCAGAGGATCAGAATTTTGTATAATTGCGGAGATGAGTTCACGTGACTTTAAGCAAAAAATTGAGATCCACGCGAAAGAGATGTCAGAGCGAAACAGTTTCAATATGAAGCAAGGATAGTGGTCGAAATCATAAGTATATTCGAAGCGACGATACATAGCATTCAATGTCAAGCAAAAATGAAACAACAATAGTTGTATGAAAGAAATCAACCTTGCACTCACGGAAGCCAACAGAGCGTTGGAACGAGATAATCTTTTGAAGAATCCTAGCCTCGATGGACGAGAAGGAGCAAGGATTAAATAAAGGATGCAAGAATTCGAAGAGAAATTTCTGCAGAATGACAAGGAATTACGAAAGATTAAGTCAGAACATGCACGAATGAAGGCGAATTTTCAAATGGTTTTCGAACGTGGTCGAGATTTTAATCATGACGTTCGAGGATTATCAACCTATAGATTTAATGAGGAAGAAAGTTCACGTTTGAAAGAAGGTGCAAAGTATTATGAAGGCGAAGATCATAAATTGAGGAGTGGTCGAGACGAAATATAATATGAGTGGTATGAAGAAATATATGGAAATAATGTCGAGGAATGTGAGGAAATACAAGAGTGGGAAGCTTTAAATGAAGAATTGAAGAGCATATTTTCTAAAGAAACAACAACATCCTCGTCATCCCCCATGCTCATGACCACCACGAAGGTGTCTAGAAAGGAAGAATCCAAGGTGGTTGTACCTCCATGGCCCAAAATCAATGACTTAGGGCTGTGGAAAACCAATCTGATTTAAACGATCATCATTGTAGCAAACGATTCCGATTAGCAATCATGAATTGATTGGATAAGGGAGGCAATTAATGACCCAGACACAGATAAATATATGGATTCCGGCGACCCAAAATTCCATTCCATCAATGCGAAGTTGGGCCTAGCATTGACTAAGGTCGTTTCTGATTCTAAAGAAGAAGAGGGTAATGTTGCTATGAAATTGAGGATCCGCATTAATGCCAAGGGCAGAATATCCACCCTCCTGAAGAAAAGACAAATTTGGAGCTGCCGTTACGTCGCTACCAGTAGCCTCTTGCTACTAGTAGTAATGGCCTCCAATAAGAATCATGAATCGTCTGCACAGTACAGAGCCAAGTTCTCTATGAGAACAAGGACCAAAACAGGCCCCCACGGGAGCAGGAAGCAGCCCGGGAAAACGAGGCAAGAAGGAAAACGCAGGGGAAACAAAAAAACAACCCTGGAGCTCTCGTCCGGCGAGCAAGGCTCATGCAAGCTGGGGCCGGGAGGAAAAAGAAAATAGAAGAGCAAAAACAAGGAACCTGTCAACTACAGGTGAATGTGTGCTCAAAACGGGCCGGCGCTCAGACAGGATCGCACTAGGCGTCCAATTCGGCACGCCTTCGCAACGCAGCCCGGGCCCTCCAACTGCGCACAAGCACAGAAGCCTCTTGCAGCAGCGTGCTGCCATCACTGCCAGCTGCACGGCCGATGGATTCCAAGGCCTTGGCTGCTTCAGGCGCCCAAGCGCCAGTAGTCTCGACAACCATAGGCAAGAAGAACACCTATTGGGCGGCACAAGCCTCAGCAGTATCCAAATGCCTTCGCTTGTGCTCAGTGTACGCCGACGCAGCCAAAGTGATCCCCGCCGCTCCAAGGACGTCCAACCGCTGAGGCGCCGTGATGGCGAAGTCAAGGGCGGTCGGACGACCATGGAACAAAGGGAGAAACACATCAGCAGGTCGTCGGGGGGCATTGTGCACTTCATCAGGCTGCTGGAGCAGCAAGAGGCCAGGTCGTTCTTTTTCAGGGCGAAGGCAGCCCTTTTCAGCCCAGCAGCTGTAAACCAAGTCCCGCAGGCCATTGTGGCGCAAAGCGCGCTCCCCACCAGCTGAGCACATCCCAGAGTGATGGCCATAAGTGTCCAGCACGGCATCGCATTTGGGACACCAGACATCTCCACGCGCTTCAGGAACGCCAAGTCGAACTCGCAACTGAGTAGTGAAAACAAGCGGCTCCATCCGAGTCCGACTGGAGGGGATGCAAGTAAGAAAGGCCCGGGCCCCAGGAGCAGCTTCAGACTGGAATGGCAGAAGCAGCCGCCAGCTGGCAGGTCCAAGCAGCTTCATCAGCTCGACGACTCAACTCTTTCTGGGAGAGTGCAAGTGCGGCAGCAGCAGTGAGCTTCTGAGCAGGCTCAAAAGCAGAATTCAGATCCGACAAGGCGGCTGCAACACGCTTTTGGTCCTCGGTCAGCTGCCGGGCATGTTGCCGGGGACGCTGAGGGCGGCTGACCCACAGTGTGGCCCGCTCGCCATCTTGCCACCTTTGGAGGCGCTCCAAGGTGAAAGCACCAGCGTGCTTGCGACCACTCCGCGGAGGGGCACACAGCACCGATTGTGGAAGCATCAGCAGGTGCACCCAGGCACGCTCATTGTTGTACTCAGCGGCCGCAGCACATGCCCGAGCGAGAGCTTGGGCCCAAGCATAGCGAGCACGGGCCAGGACATGCCTCAGCGTGGGAGTATTACTGCATTGGATCTCGGACAAAGAAGAGAGGGCGCCATCATCCGGGCCCCGAGGTCCCAAGGCCGGCCCAGGCCCAGCAGCGGCTCGAGCAGTGGGACGACATGTCGGATGGATGCCATAGCGCTTGGCCACGCTCAATCCACACACCAAACATTGTTGCAAATCGCGATCTTGAAGCCAGCATGCGGGGACACGACCTGCCAACGAGCCTCCAAGGTGGGCATCAACATGCGTCCTGAGAGTGCCTGCCGAAGCCCACCCTCGGGCCCGGGCGCCATCAGCACAGGGGCAGCCTGGTACAGGGCAGAAAAGCCTCTGGCCAGGCGCAGCTGCCGCGGCCATGGGGACGTCAGCCTGAGCAACTGCAGATCCATCAACATCCATGCCACCCACAGCCGCATCTGCCCGCAGTCGAGGACAGAGGAGTCCCAGGTGCAGGCACCATGCCCCTGAAGGAGAGCCGCCCTCCGACCAGAAGGAAGCAGAGGGGGGGGGGCAACCCCCCCTCACTCGGAGGTAGAGGAGCCCGGCAAGGGGCAGCCCCCTTACAGGGGGAGACAAAAGAAAGGTATTAGGGGGCAATGGAAGACAAATTTTAGTATTGATACTTCTCAATTTCAGGACAACATCCAACGTTGAGGCCATATACACATCAATGCACTTGCATCAATTCGAGTTTTGGCGAAACAGGAATCTATCAACCCATTTCCTTTTATATTAGCAGGGATGAAGCCGTCAAATATGCCGAGCGATGACACCTTACGAAATCTATTGTCGAGGATAAAGAATTCCAATCTGATGTCTTAGGATATGCCCATATACAATAGCCTCAATGAAGGAGATCCCAAGAAATCGTATCAGAGCTTGTGGGACATCGTCCGAAGGCACATCCAAAGACAGACGGAAAACAAGATATTCCTGGAAAAGGAGAAAGTTGTTAAAAATATGTCCAACATCTTCCAGGGCCTCAAACCAAGCGGTCCGGTACCGAAGGTGAAAGTTGTACCAAATGAATCGAAAAAGAAATCGAAGCCAACAGGTGGAACAGGGGAGACAGAAGAAGTAATTCCTGTCAAACCCAAGTCGAATCTAAAGAAACATCCTGAAGACAAAAAAGGAAAGGATTAAGGTGACGGAAAGGATAGAGGCAGAAGTACAAGCGTGGACAAAAAAAAAATTAGATGCAAATTCTTTGTACCCAAGGAAAAGGATATCCATATAGTCATAAGAAGCCAAGGATTCCATCAAGGAGTACAGCACCGAAAGGTGAAGGAAAGATTCCATTTTGGAATTAAATTAAAAGTAATTGTCCTAAGGAAAAAGAATGCAAATTCGATCATGATCCAAAGGCAGCATCCAAGAAGAACCCTTCTGCAATAGCCGACATTGGTGAGGACAAACCAAAACCAAAGCCAAAGGGGAAGCCTGGAGCACCAACAATGATGAAGGAATCGTGACTAGTGTGAAGATGGAAGACATGAAAGACAGGAGAACCATTTTCGACGATGATTTCGGAGAGATCATCTTCAACGAAGCAGTGTATTCAACGAGGAGCGTATGGAAGCCAAGAATCAAGAAAACATTGAGATTAGACATCAAAAAATATGATACGTAGGAGATTATCAACCAATCCCATCAGGAACAGAGCAGATTTGATGCGGAGATTGCAGAGGCAAAAGCCACTCTTATGATTCCCTATACAGACATCAAAGAAATTCATATTCCAATTGGTCCGAATGGTGACATTGCCATCACGATGAGATTTGACGACGAAGAAGGGTTAGTCTTTCAACACAGAACCATTTCTCATGTCTGTGGCAAATATGCTATCAAGGGTGAAATGCAGATCTTGTTAGTCCCTGCAAAAGGGATCAAGAGAGAAATTCATCATGGACACAGGGTGTGGATATGATGACCTCATTTTGAAGAATAGAACAAAGAAATTTGGAATGAATATTGAAGAAAATGACAACCCCATGTCCTTCTTCACGGCTAATGGCAAATGATATAACGAATACGAATTATATTGCAAAGATCCTTTTCGATGAATTTGGGTCTATATATATATATATTCCTTGTATCCTGGATGAATCATCATCAATATTATCTGTTTGTAAGAAGTGTATGGAAAAAGGATATTCCTTCGTTTGGTCGGCAAATGATGTGTTTTACATGATTTCGTCAGACAATAAGAGATCGAAAACAATATCCCATATATCATCAAAGACAATGATTTCTGCTTACTCAATATTAATGAACAGATAGAAAGAGTGTTGAACTTGATCATTCATTAGATTGATATGGATTATAAATCAAACGTCATCAACCACGAGGTAGACATATATAAGCATTCACCATCGATTTTGACGATTATCCTTCCTTATGAACCACCTGTGAAGATGAAGCACAAAAGGAAGAAGAAGAGGAATTACATTAATTTAATATCATTTTCTATATTCCAATTTTAATGCAAGACCGGAATCTGAATATAATATATGTATATAGTTGCCTAAGGTCCCTATTTGCTCCCTGGATTGTGCATCATCAAATTGATTGAGGGGTATTATGAATTCATTAATATTTAAAGGAATATAATATAATATTGCGAAATATGCCTTAATCATTCTATAAAAAATAGAAATTTCGGATATATTCCGATAGCGCTTATGGGTAGACAAAAAGATTCAATCGTATTGCGACCTCTAATTAAAGATTAGCAAGACCAAAGATATTCATCGATCCTTTATTTTTATATCCATGAAACAACATCATGAGATATCATTAATGGATTATATTATTATATTCAAACATCCATAAAGAGCACCTTATAGTGATGCCTTAATATCATTTTATTCTAATTGATATATTTCATTTAAATCGGAATTAAGGCCCTATTAGTAGATTCTTTAAAAAAATAATTTAATCCGCATTCGATCACAATATGTTTTCAAATACCGTATATTTTGGCAATATAATTCGCAACAAAAAAAAATCAATATCTTTCATAATTTTATAACAATTTCTCAATAATAAATTCATTAAATCGAAATAATTCAATATTATTGCAGATATTTTAAAAAATATATCATATATTAAATAGAATATTAATATTATTTAGTTTTAAAATACAAACAAATTTCAATAATCATTATATATATAATATTAAAATAAAAAAATACAATATTTACAGATATTCAATACGGACCTTTAAAAATATATTGTTTTTATATTATTAAAATATTATATATATATTAAATTCTAAATATTTATATTAATTTCAATATTCTAAAATTTTATTTTTTTAAATTTGCATATTCAATTTAATATCATATTAATCAATTATAATATTTAGTCGATTTTAAATATATTAATTTATGTGAGAAGCGGACAAAATTACTTATTCATGCAATATGTTATATGCCAAATTGGGTCGTTCCCTATCGATTATGAAGAATTAAGCATTTGAAATGTGATATCATGATGGTGTCATTTGTTGCGAAGGGCTTGTCATGTTGCGTTTTGATTGCTCCGCGGTTGTGTTTCCAGTTCGGGCTTGAAGCTACGAATATCTTATGAAAGGCTTGTGGAAGCAAACATCATAATAGCATCTCCCTTTGGTGCTATCTAACATTAAACTCGAGGAGCTGGATTCTAAGCTGCTATTCTAACCGTGACCTGCTTTCACAATGCTTTGTTTTTTTCCTAGTTAAATGTTGTTGCCTGTGTTAATTCCGCAATTATAGTATACTAATATTCTTATTAATTTCCTCAAATGTTTACATCATCTGGTGATTTGTACATAGTCCTAAATATAATATCGCCCTTCAAATGGAACGAAAGGCACCAAATCATGTAAATCTGCAAAATATAATATCGATTAGTATCGGTTAAATTATCGATAAGAATTCCCTCATTCCACGATGTAAGCACCCAATTGTTATTCATTAATTAATAAAATCTCATCAGCGAATTCACTTCACAATAAAATAATAATTCTTCCAATATAATCCACTAAAATTCAGAATTATTAATATTAAAAAACACCTTAAATTCCAATTCCCAGCCATCGAAAAATAATAATAACCAAAATAATCTTAAATAAATCGATTAATATCGGTGCTAAATCGTTCCCTATTAATTGCCAAGAATTTCTTTTAGAATATTTTTATCGATTTTTCATGTATTAAATATTAAAATTAATTTCGAATTTAAAATTCTATTCCAATATTATTATCATTAATTATATCTCTCCCTCTTTTTCCCCATCTATATCGATCATCCATCATTATCCCCATCAACACCACCATCATCACAATCTCCACCTCCATCACCACCATCACCTCTCTAACCACAATACATCTCTAAACTTCGTATCTTTATACTATTTCATATCAAAAATATTTAATATACTTATCGAAATAGAATATATTTAAATTACAATAATCAAAAACTATATATATATATATATATTTAATAAATATTCGTACAATCAGAAATCAAAAACCATAATGTTATCTTGTTTAAATATATATTCTTAATATTATATCAATAATATATATAATATTATATTTCGTACATAATTAATAGATATTGCATTCTATATTTAAATAAATAAATGTATTTAAAAAATAGAAGCCCAATGAATTGTCTCAAAGAAGTAAAAATTGAAGAATTTTAATCATGTGATATCCTCCCAAAAGATTCAATTGGGATTCTTCATGTTATGCAATTTGGGCGGTCAGTTCTTGCCTCAGCAAACCGCGGCAAGGAGTGTTGGTTGCGCCCGCTCCCCCCAAAAAATACCCTCCGAAAAGGCATGTTATCATCTTCCACAGAAGTGGGTTGCTGTGTGGTCAGGGTCCCAGGTCAAAACCGATGGCTAAAAGTCTCAAATCTTGGAGCTCCATTTCGATTATTTCCAAATCAGTGGAGCTTGACATCCTCATTGTGCCGCTTTGGAAACACAAAGGACGAGCAAGCATCATTTGAAAGAACGGGGAGTGGAAGCACACTGCCTGAAACAACCATGGAAGTGGAAAACCACCTGTTTGTAGAGAAAAAATTGCCTTCCAGTGGCCTATAGTCCACTTCCATTATAATTCTAGGGAGTGTGCTTGATCTTTTGTCCTTGGACCAAAACATGGAGCTTCTCAGCGCCGAGCGCTCGTCGAGCACCATAGGACATCGCCTTCCTGTGCACAAAACGAGCCCCAAGACACCCACAGAGCGCGGCAGGGCGGTGAACGGTTGATCTTAGCCAGCATTTGGGTAGGTTGGGTAGATTGAGGATGCATTCCAGGAGAGAGAAAAAACACACTCCAAGCACTCACATTGACATGGTGGAAGAATATCAAATCGACTTCCGTCGTGTCGTGCATATATACATATTTCATTATACTGGGGGCTCATGACTTTCGCTTTAGGCTGAAGTGACATCGGCCTTGTGGCCATTCTTTTTTTAAAACCTACAGTATGTCATGGTGTTCTCTTTGCTCCAAGCATGCCCCCAACTGCCAACTGGTCTAAGGAGATAGGACGTGTTAAAGGTGAACGAACAAAAATACAAAGAACAACATGAATGGCCGGACAGTGCCTTTCAAGTCCTGATACTACAACAGGACTTGTGAACAACCTGAGAATATCATGACGCTGTGTGGCTTTCCCATTTTCCTCTCAACTCCTATGTCATCAACCTTTGAGTTGTTGAAACATGAATTTAAAGCAGGCACTAGTCCGCATAGGCTCGGCCGGGCTCTATTTCTGTGTGTTTTTCTATCCGAAGGTTCATGACCTAGGTCTTGTGTTTTTTTTGCTTCTTCAGCTTTTGCATTATGACTTAGGACTTGAATCAGGTACTTCCGCTACATCCTATGTCCGTATGTATGTATATATACTTCCACAGGAATGTGTTCAGGTGGTGTTTTGGATGTCTGTGGGTGGTCATCACCACTAGGGCGTCCCGGAGGCTGGCCTTCCTACAAGCCATGCGAAGATGGCTCTAAGCCTCTATGCTGTCTGAATAGTGGCGAAATGTGGCGAAGCTCCTTTCCTCTTCTATGCCTTTCGGCATTAAAGGCATCACTCGGACAAGTGGAGCTGAGCAAACACAAATAATATGTGTTAAACTATTTGTCTGGTGCAAACGATAGGAAAACTCTTGGTCTCCTGTCCCATCGTGCTAGTAAGTGCGAACCAGTTTTTATCTATACGAGATCTAACGGCATTCAAAGACGATTCAACCTGGTTTCAAGACCAGATTATCACCAAGCCACCTACTACTCCCTGCTACCTGGCGCACAACGGCGCCTGTACTCCGCGAAGGACAAGAATTGGGCATTCTCGCCGCTTCGTGCCTTTGCAAGGACAAGTATCCAATCCCGAAACTTGCAGATCTGGTCCACCCTGATCAAGATCCAAACATTCCTTATATTCCTTCGCAGCCGGTTCTTCTGGTATGCACCGGCATCACCCAACGATTTCGACCGTCGTCCCCACTGACTGCGCACGGCATGGCACAGGTTCCCCCACCAGCGCGCTCTGGCGGCGCCGGCCGTAGGACATGCTCTCGCGGTACCTCGCAAGCGAATTCGCGTGCCTGGCAATAGGGTGGAACCCAAAAATGTTTGCCAGTAAGTGGATGTCAGATGATGTAAGTGGATGTACAGTAAGATGATTGATCCCTCCCCCATCCCCGCACTTCAAAAACCCCGCTGCAATGAGCTGGCCTACAAAGCTGGCTCCGGTCCCTGTTCGCGTCAGCCTTTTCACCTTCCTTGCTCTTCAATCTCCCGCGCCGTCTGCACCGCCCGCTCCGCCGGCGCCCCGGCCGCGGCCACCGCCCAGGTGGTGGGGTCCGGCGGCAGCAGCAGCACGTTCATGGCGAAGCCGTAGCGCCGCACCGCGTCGGCGGCCTCGTAGGCGTCCGCGGCGAAGACGAAGAGGTCGTCCGCGTCGTCGGCGTCGTCCACGTCGGCGGGGGAAGTGTCCGGTCTCATGTCACCTGGGATGACTTGCTGATTGAACTGGAGTCACAAGAAACGAAAATGACGAAAATCAGCTGACAAGAGGCTCCTTCGAGATGGAGATCCACACACAGGGCAGTGCACGTTGTGATCTGTGAATTCTACTGACTTGGCATGCAAAGAGTAGAAAGCAATGTCCAAACCCTCCCCTCTTTGTCGGCACCCGGCACGGAAGCCTGTCATTTTTGGGATACCCCGCGTTGGGCCGAAGGCACCGGGGCTCGAGGCCAAGAGCCGACCCTCGGCGAGGTGCCTCAACCAGCCCTCGCGTGCCTGGGTCTGGCCGCTGAAGACCGCGCCGGTCTCATCCACCAAGACTAAGGGCAACCTTGGGAGACAACTCACACGGTGGTGGTGGGCGTGGAGAAGGCTCTTTTTTCCCTCCTCGGCCCAGTCAGAGCCGTCCACAACATTTGAAGCAGTCAAAGACAAAGAAGGGCAGCGATTTTGGGGGGGGAGGGGCACCGCTTTGGATCACAAATCCACTGTGGCAAGGGCGGTGAGGGTGACCATTCTTGCATCTGGCTTTCCGGGACAAGCTTGGTGAAAATACCACTCCTGTGGACCTGGATCGCAAATGATCACAGAAAGTACGCAAAACATATTGCATTGAGAATTCTCTGCTGGTCACCAGGAATAGTCCCACTTCTCTGCACAGCCGGCACCTGTCTCCATATCCACCACCACACCGTCGATATGGCCCTCTGCATAGAGCGAGACGGCTAACTTGTCTACGATGTCCCTCATCCTCCAGAAGAGCTGCCTGAATCACCGGCCCGAACTCGGCGCTCCCGGCGCCTCTTCCCTCCCCAAATGAGAGCTTCTTTGGGAGAGCGTCGCCAAGGGGCGCACTCACATATGGTAAAATGGCGGGGGAGGGATGCCAGAAGCAGAAAATCACCATCCCAGCCGAAGCTACAGCACCACCCGCCGAGGTTCTGCCATGGCCTCCGCATTCCGGCGGAAATCCAGCCAGAGCTCATGCGTCTGACCGGAGGAGGCGCTGTGGTGCCCCTGGTTGGTGGCCATGCGTGACATGAAGCCAGCCAGGCTGGAGCCATAGCTATTGGTCGTGGAGGGCTAGTCATAGGACATGATGAAATCCTTGGAACGGAGCCGTTTCCAAGATGCTCCTTTCCAAATAAATGTTCAACAAACTGCTTCCACCAGCACTTTTCGCCATTCCTATAACCCAACTCCAAACCCTCATCATTCCCACATCTTCATCATCATCTTTCCCTCAACTCCATCCTTCCCCAACTCCCCAAACGCTGCTTCTCGCGATCCCGTGGATTTGGGGCTTCACCGCACTCACTCACGGCCTGCCTATCGAGTCCGAGTCACATACGCTTGCTTCATCGCCACGAAGCGCAGCGCGGTTTGCGCCAGCTCGGAGGGCGCGCAGACGTCAGGGTGCAGCTGCCGCGCCAGGCGACGGAAGGCCTTGCGCACCTGGCCGGTGCACGGAACACCGTGCCTTGCGCACAGTTTGCGCTAGGTAGGTCAGTGCGGAGCTGGTTTGGACCTGGCGGGGGGTTGACAATGTAGACAAGGTGGTGTTGGCTCGCGGGGATTCTGGGTGGGGCCCTAGTATCTAGAAAAGTGAAATTGCCTTGGGATCTATCATGTGAGGCGACCTTATGGTCAAGAACTGCTGAAGGAAGGATTACCAAAAACACGGATGAACACTGAAAATAAAAGCTTGAGTCAACATCCTTGAACACGATGTTAAGCGCTAGACCAATGAGGAGGACATGGGAAGTAAAAATGGTTGTGTATTTCATGATATTTCATCTATATACATATAGAGCTCTCTCTCTCTCTCTCTTTCTCTCTCTCCTTAGCCGTGCTGCCGTCTGACGGAGCTGTGTTTGGCTGGATGAAATCTTTCCGTGACCAAAGAGAGAGAGAGAGAGAGAGAGAGAAAAAAAAAGATCTAAAAACAAAGAAAGAAAGGAAGGAAGGAAGGAAGGAAATAAATAAGGAAAGAAATAGAAAAACGCCATCCCCTACCCAGGTTCTGGAACCTGTCGGATGCTTGCACCGGCAGGGAGGCCAAGCTCGGCATAGGCCTCCTGTAAGGTGAGCTGCCTCTCTCCTCCACGCCGTGGCACATAAAAATCACGCTGACACACGCAGATGTGGAGGTGAGGGCACAATCATTTAATCATGCAGACCCACCTGGAATTGCAGGCCTATGTCTATGTGTCCCCGGTTTTTGGTCTGTTGCATCTCTTTTCCAACGCATCGATCGATCCCTTCGTCCCTTCCTCTCACATCCTCTCACATCCTCTCGCACGTCCCTCGCCTGATCTTCGCAGGATCCTCGTCGCCCGCCTGGGCGCTCGGTTCAGCGCCGGCGCCGCGCAGAGCACCAGCGGTGCGCCCGCGCCCGGCTGCGGAGCCGCCGCGAGCAAAGCCAGCAGAGCTGCCAGGGACGCCACGCACGCGAGTGGGCGCGGACAGGCGGATCGACATCGAAGTGCCATGGCGAAAATCATCCGCCTGGGATGGGGTGATCCCAGGCAGTGGGGTGAGTCTACTGATGGAAAAGGTGTGTGTGCTTTGTGTGGTGGACCATTGCGCCAATATTGGTGGTGTGTCATTGTCCTGGTGTAAGGCCCGCTGTATAGTTCCTTTATTGATCTGTTTCACGCCGCAAGCTGTTGTGCAATTTTGGTGAGATGGGGTTTCTGTTTGCAGCCCGGATTTCTCCACACCTGCTTGGTCTGTCAGTCCGTAGGGCCCCGAAAAACCATCAGAAAAAGTGAGACTGCACTGGCATCCCGAAGTGCTGTTCTGTCTCGCAGCTTGCTTTGCGGATTTGGCATGAACTTGCCAGTAATAAAATGCGACAGTCTCCGTCTTACCTGAGACGTGCCCCACAACAAAGCCGCTTCTTCAACAAACTAGTCATGGTTCTGGTGCTCGACCCATGTGAACCAAATTGGACATTGAATGTACCTGTCTTCGACTTTAGAAGTGCAGGCCTTGCTCAAAGCCAAATGGTGCTGCAAGGCATGCCTTGTGAAGCCTTTTCGCCATTTCACTTCTCTGCTGGGCACCAGAAGCGGAGCCCGGAAGCTTGCTCCGAATCCTTCCGAACCCAATCATCTGGACATCCTTGATAACATGTTCCCACTCAGCACGCCACCTCTGCTGGGCCAAGAGCATAGCTCGCCGCTGCTTGTAGCCCTGCATGGGCTTGGGATCCCTCCCCGAAAGGCTTGAACAAAGAAGTGCTGGAGGCAGTTCAAACTTAGCTGCTATGCAAGAAAAAGCAACCAAGATTCCCCAATCCACGCTTCGGAATCCCACAGCGCCCTCTGTTTGTAGAGGAACTGGGGCCAGTTTCATCCAGTTTCCACTTTCGCAATTGTTCCGGGGAGTGGATACATACTTGTTGGTAGACAAAAGACGACACCAAGATTCCTGAATCAACATGCTGCGGAATCCTACCGCCTACGTCAGTCTCCACAAAGTGCAGGGTGCTAGCCGCTAAGCTGCTAGCCTGGCTTTCCACCTTCCAGCACCAGTTCTTGACTTCCAGAGCCATGTGAGAAGCCGGACTCAAACATCCGGAGTTTCCATGTTGCGTCCTCTCAGGCACGGTTCGGAGCGCCTGGGCCTCAGCCGGTGCGTCCAGCTCTGCCGCGTCGTCCGCCTAGACTGAGGAAGGCGCGAGACTCGCGGGGGCTGAGTCTCGGGTTCATAAGCCTGAAGGTTACTGGCACCGGCCTTGGACAAAGCAACCCGCATCTCATGAGTCAGGAGACATGTTCTTTTTGGCGCTCGGTCCAACCCCAGCTCTAACCCTTTCCATCGCTCCTCCTCTTCCTCCTCAACCTCTGGGCGCTGGCGTGCAGGTGCGCTGGGCGCGCTGGGCGTGCTGGGCACGCTGGATGCGCTGGGCGCGCTTGGCGCGCTGGGTGCTCGGGGTTTGCTGGGTGTGCGCGGGGCGCTGGCCCGTGGCCGCGGGGGTGTAGAGCTGGCTTCACCTGGCCCGGGTTCAAAGGCAAACCCAATTAGCTCATATCGATGGTAGTCCTTCTCTGCCCGCTATACAGGGAAATCTCCACAACCACATAGCCAGTCGCTTAACTACAAGATTCATATCAATGATAAATTAATACAACTCCATATTGATTTGAATAAATCGACGCCAATATTCGCTTGAACTAAATACATATGCGTTTCTTTACTATGTCTATGTAAGCAGCACGCCGGTGGCATCTAAACTCCATACCCCTTGTCTGCAACTGATCCCCTTCTGAAACGCTCACTCCACCTACTAACTACAAGGTGCAACTACGTTGACGTATTTGTGCCAGAGATGGATGTGAGCAGTGCACAAACAAACATCATAAGTGGAAAAAAGGAAAAACACATAGTGCACAAGCCGCACTGGCCTGGCCGTAACCGTACCGGGAGGTGTCAACATCTCAGGCCAGGAAATGTGGTATAGTCTTGATGTATGTACAGTATATATATATATATACAGTATATGAAACACTGGGTTGGTTTGGCACAGGCATATCAATTCTTCCTTGGAATGCTTGGACCCAAGTTGAGGACCCAACTTCACCCTCCAGAGTGGAGAAGAGTGGTGGCCATCTGACTCAGGTGAGTGGAGAATGGTGAGAACCCATGTTGCAAGGGGAGCAGTTAAGGCAAGCCCTTGGTGGAATCAACTGGCCAGGTGATGCCAATCCCCACAAACCTCTCGCAGCGACCTCCTCCCAACCGTTGCTTTTGGTCCCCCAGACGTTGTGAGACAGCAGAGACGTAAGAGGCATTGGAGTCGGCGGACGTCCTTCAGCTCAACTCCATCTCTGCTTAGGATGTCTGTATTGATACCGATCAATTGGATCCAAATGGGAATTTTGTCGTGGGTTTGCGTCATCTCAGTCATCTCATTCTGTAACTGTTTGAGCTGATTGTGGGGTATAGGCCTAGCTCAGGGGAAATCATGACATGAGGCATCTTGCATGAAAGGTGATCTTGCTCTTGGGCGAACCTGTCTTGATCTGTGCGGGGGAACAATTGCATAGAAACAAGGCAAGCAATATCCTGTTATGATAGGAAAATGGATTCCCAGAGTTGGCGTTGTCGCTCAGTTGAGCTTTGATTCTTGTGGTTCATCGACATGGAAGTTCACGAATTTTGCCTGGCAAAGCTAAAACCTACCGGCTTCAAACACACTGATGATAAACTCACGTTTAGCACACCATTGTACACCTCAGTCATCAATGGGTCCAAAAATGTTTACACTCTGACTCACTAACATGGAAGTGGAAAATGGTCACTTGGAAGACTACTTTCCTCTACAAACACGTGGTTTTCCACTTCCATGTTAGTGAGTCAGAGTGTTAAAAGAATCTGTCTGTGGTTGACTATATCTCGATCTCCTGGTCTGTCCGTGCACATTCCAAACGACACCGAACACCGCCCACCACCCGTTTGGAGCGACCGCCCACTGAGTGCTCGAACGCCCGCTGTTGGGACCCAGGAACCTGCGCGCGTTTCGGGTCGGTTTACTGTTGCAAGAACACGACACCCCGTGAAATGAACGTCCAAAAGAATTCAAAAGCAGAGTCCAGGGACCCTTTCAGAAAGCCGATTTCACTCCGAACTTCATGAATGAGAAAGATATTGAGAGGGCACGCCCTGCCTTCACACATCCCTACAATCCCATACAAGCCTACAAAAAGACTTTGACTGAATAAGCTCTCATGAACTCAATACTCCGACAAAGCACCCACAGGTTATCAAGTCATATTGATCCCAGCCCCACTCACCAGCCGCTCTCAGACTCCCAAGCAAGACCTTGAGCTGCGAGTCCTGTGAGCACACCCAATACCAACGGCGGAGGGAAAGGAAGGGGAGGTTCTCCAGACTCCAACAATAGCTGGTTCCTTGTGTGCTACATGCAACAACATTCTAACTCTGACGGTCCAACACTCACTCACAACCAGCTCGTGAGTTCCAGCTACTTCTCCGGCCAGTTCAGTTGGCGGCGATGAACCGCATGTCTGGAAAAAGTGGGTGAACTGAGCCAAAGAGAACAGGGAAAACAAGAAAACAAGCAGCACGGTAACACGCTGACAAACCGGCCAAATCCCCCCTCATCTGACACAGGCCATCCCATCAGAATCCACACACCGAACAGCTGTAGAATGCTTACTTTTTCCATTCAAACGTGCAAAACAAAAACTCGACGCGAACATTGAAAAGGGTTGTTTACCGCTTGAACATTCCTCACCATCCTCAAATGCATGTTAGTCATCCGCAGGAACGGGTGGTTTCTTTCCTGCACCCCTTCAGGCCACAATTGACTCCTCCCAGTGACGGCTGTCCTGCTTGGGTTTGTCCCTCCCTCTGCTTCCAGAGCCTTCATGACCAAACCCAAACGATTCGAGACCCCGCACATGAAGTTCAAAAGAACAAGCTAAAACCATCATCATCACTGTTGTTTTTCTTATTTTTGCTCAAATCCCTATTGTTCAGCTGCTTCCCCTCCTAAAGCTCGATCACTGTCTTCTGTTCTTTTTTGGTTTCAGCAATCTCTGCGTCTTGCATGTCGCGAGCCGATGAGGAAAAAAAAAAACGCGCAGCACCCGGCCTTTGCCCCGGGGTTCCACCTCCTTCGCTTCCGCCGTGGCCTGAAAAAACAACGTCACGAGTTCGTCACGAGTTCGTGCAAGCACGGCCCCTCCTGACCTTGGCGTAGCACACGTCGCCAAAAAACAATCCCGAGCACTGGGGACCGGGGACATCGGTTCTGGTTTCATTTCGGCTCGTAATGGCCCATTCTGCCGAAGGCAAACATGGATTGCTTGGGAATGTATCAACTGCATCTTATCTTGCACCGTTATTCCATGCGTCGGTGGCCTCTCTTCTTGATGTGTTTTTTTCGTTTTTGGTTTTCGTTTTTGGTTATGTTCCATTGTTTCTTGCTGGTCCGAATGTGATTAGCGGAGCGTCTGACTCTTTCCCATGCAGTTCGCGAAATCCCCCACAAAAACCATCCACCAGGCCAACCAAACTAAAGGAAATCCCAGCCTGCAAAGAAGCTGGCCTGAGATCGTAAAAAATGCTGGAGGGCCCTAGACAGGGTGGTCGAAAATGACTACATTTTCACAGCTGGACGACGTAGGATCTCAGCAGCTGGTTTTTAGCGAGAAGCATTCGTTGGAATTTGGCCTGCCTTGACGAACACCACTTCGCAACACCGCAGCTGTGCTGCTTTGATTGGAAATATTGGAAGCAACTCTTTTGGGCGAATCCGCTAATCTGCATCTCTCAATTCTGGTTCACGTTTCCAGCTGCAGCCGCCCTGCATCCCATCTCAGCACATCTGATTTTTGAACCCCCTCCACCGTTCTATGGTTGATTGTGCGCTCCTTCCACCTTCACAGCATTCCCCTCGCCGAGCGAGGACTGCAAATGCAATAAAAGGTGGTGACCCGATTGATGTGATACACATCTT